CCCCAAAACCCCAAAACCCCAAAACCCCAAAACCCCAAAACCCCAAAACCCCAAAACCCCAACACGAATGGCTATCTTGAAGGATTATATAAATGTAATAATTTTTGTAAATCAAAATGGGCTGAAATGCATCGAAAAAGGTTGTGGAACAGCCGATCATACAAGAGATTAGTAAGGTTTACTTAACCATAATAGAACCTATTGTTTACGAAGAGCTTGACTTGGAATGTATCATCTGAATGAACATTAAGAAAGATCCTTATCTTACAAATTGATGCATGAGAATCGTCTGACCAGACTGAGCTAACCAAATTGATGAAAATTGACCCCTGAGGTGAGTTAATGAAGGTCCTTTGTTTGGAACCAATCCGGACTTAGACAGAAAAGTTATGAATGAGTTCCAAATTTGAAAGAGATGTGATTCAAAGTTTCATCCATGGGACTTACACAATCATCAGGATAATTGACTCAGAGATGAACTTCCGAAGGAAATAGAAGGTAAATTTATATTCTGTTGAAGCCCAATCTTAATTCTAATTTAGTCCCTCAGATTCATGAGCATCTTCTAATTGAAACAAACGTCAAAGGAGACTGGAAGTGATCAATCAGAACTAATTTATCTCAAAGGCATCATGATTTGTTCTCTCATAAATGTTTCCTTTGCAAACAATGAAATCATAAATTTTGAAGAAATTGAGTTTTGGACGAATATTTCTATGAAGAACAGAGCTCAAGCAACAACAGTAGCTCAGAAATCAGCAATCTGACTGAGAATGAAAGATCATCAAACCAAGAAGAGAACTCAGAAGAAAGCTCAGAAGATAGCTCTGAACTTGCAGATCACAACAAGATTGATGTGAGCGTTGAGTCATCTTCAAAAAGTGAAAAGCAAGATAACTCTTAATATACCTTTCATATTTTGATATTTAGTGAATTCTTTCACTCAATCTAGATTCTTCAGCCAGGGGTTTTGGGGTTTTGGGGTTTTGGGGTTTTGGGGTTTTGGGGTTTTGGGGTTTTGGGG